GGCCTCTAAAAATGCCACTTTTGTCTTCTTCTGCTCGGCCTCCAGTACCCGCACATCTACCCCTTCAGGGTGCGGTACCGGCCTACCCGCTACTTCAGTGTTTTTCGTGCTGCAATCCCTCAATGTCACGGCCACAGGTAAGTACCGGCCGTGAGGGCCCAATGAACGAGCACGTGCCCTTGCGGGCGACACACACACTCAAGCCAACCAGCACTCAGACAGGCACGACCACACACACACTCAAGCCAACCAGCACTCAGACCGACATGCAGTCCAGCAAGCGTGCACACACAGACTGAGTAGCAAGCAGGAAACTCAGCAGGGCATTCAGTCTTTGGGCAAAACTCAGAAATCAGCTGTGTGTTTCAGTCCATGTTTGGACGGGTCATCACACCTTTGTCTATTCCCCCTCCACTCTCTTCTTTTGATGGTAATGAGATACTGTTTAAGATTTCACTTCACGACTTGGAGACTTTGATGCAGATAATGAAACTACTGATGTTTGACGACTTCTGAGTATCTGCCAGACTGGGTTCATTACAATTTGGTATCGGAGCAACTTCTTCATCGCAATCTGTTGTCTGCTGTCAGGTGCTGACGTGGCACCCAGGTAAGTGGGAAGTGCCGCATGTGCAAAACGAAACGCATTTATTAACGCGCGCGGTAAATACCGCAGGTCTAGACATTGTAGTATTGCACGTGCGAGCAGCTGTCCCTCGAAGACGATGACATGGCTGCATTGAAGACTTATACCGGCAAGAGCTTCGTTGGCAACAGGCCGACGTGGCGCTGGTACCGCTGATGTGGCGTGTGGTGGGATGCAGGGCATGGTCTGATGTGGCACGTACCTGTGCCGTTGTTGCCTGCTGATGCTGCATTTGACGTGGCATACCAGTGTTGAGTGTGAAGCAGACCTGCATTGCAACGTGGCATCCCTCCTTGTAGACCGTCCCGGTCCTTGATGCTGACGTGGCAGTACTGCTGCGTTGGCATGCCAGGGATGACACGTGGCATGCACACAGGCTGTTGAGAGTTGTACACTTGTTGTCGATGATTCCATTGCTTCTGCAGATGGTAGGAAAGAGGCTAATCATTGATTGTGTGGTTGTGTTGGCTCTCTACTTACCTGTTGTTTGTCTGTGGTTGCTGCGTATACTTACAAATGTGCTGTTGTCTTGATCACATTGGTCGTGGCTGCGGTACCTGTACATTTAATGGGACGTCATCACACATAGATTAGACAGCTGAGATTAGATCAAGATTTTATTGGTTTTGTTTCGTGAATTGTTGTTTACTTCTTGCTGAAAAAATTTGGACCAGTGTGACCGTGGAATTTATTATTGATTCCTTATTGTTTATTTATTGTGCAGTAAACACATCTGAAGATGTCTTACCTTTGGAATTCTCTGCGTCTCTCCATTCTGACTCGCTTCATTCCTCATCTTTTCCTACCTGTCTCTGTCACCTTCTTCGCTGATGAGGAAGGCGAAATCCGAACACGTACCCAGATCGAAAACAGACGGCAGCAGATGCTGAGCCGTCTTCAACAGCTCCTGACTGAGTTGCACGACGCGGGACCCATGGCTGAACAGCACGTACGCAGCCAGTTCGATCTGCATGCGGCAGAAACCGAACTCAAGGAGGCTGATACGGCTGTTCAGATGATGGAGGCCAGTACGAGGGTGCAGCGGACTATTGACCAGGGCCGAATGGCCCTTGATCAATATGTCGCCGAGGAGCTGGCGAAGATTGCTGCAGGCGAGCCGAAAGAAGGACGGGAAGAAGAAAGAAGGGAAGGAGTAAGAAGGCCAGAACTGAATGAGGATACAATGCTGGCAAACATTAGACAATTGGAAGAAGCTTTGAACGCGGAAAGAAAAAGAATGGACGAGTACCAAAGGATAAAAATCGAGAGAGAACAGCGAGAAAGAAACGTGGAAGAGATTAGACAACAATTTCACATTGAAAGAACAGAAACTGATCTTGCACCTGTTCTTGACAACTTGATGGCCTATCTTGCACACCTTGAATTGAAGATTGATAATAACACCGCCACATTGGAGTCGGTGTTGAGACTAGTGAAAGGGAAAGGTAAAGTGTCAGTTGAGGAGGAGGCTAAAGGGAAAGAAAAGAAAGAACCTCAAGAGAAGTTGTTGAAAGGTGCAATGAAGAGGACGACGCTGGAAAAGTCTGAAGGCTCCAAGAGGGAACCAGAGGAACCGGCAGGGAAGAAGGAAGTACCCACCGAAAAGAAAGAAGAACCGGTGAAAGAAGCGCAAAAACCAAAGAAGAAAGAAAAGGTGAAGATGAAACTGTCGTTTACCTACAGTAACAAAAAGGAAGAAAATCTGTTGTTGTGGATCGCCGAGATACAGACTTATTGTGGCACTACACCCGTTGAGCCTGAAAGTCAGGTTGCTTTCTCCACGTCTTGTCTAGGAGGAGTGGCCAAGAAATGGGTGCTGGCCGAAGCCAACGCCGTTGGCTTTGAGGATAGGTGAGTGGGCTAAGACCCTGGCGTTGAGACAATTTCTCCATAAGATTAAGGAGAGATTTCTCGACAAAACGACGGCCGACAAGGCCTTTGACAAACTCGCTACAATCGGGCAAAGCGTTGGACTTCTGCTGAGGCCTTGTCTCATGAAGTGGATCGTCTGCTGCAGGTACCTGGGTTGAATCTTCAAGACAACCAGGTTCTCTATATCTACTCACACGCTTTGCCCGAGCCCATTCGTGGACAGCTCGTGGCAGAATCAAAGTCTGGCAAGTACAATTATCAGCAGCTCCGCGACCTCGCTCTCCAGAGAAAGCAGATGACCGCTCAGGTAAAGGGGTCGTACGCTTCGGTAGTAAAATCGGGAACGGTTGGTGGGTATGGGAAGCGGGTCCTCTGGCGACGAAAACGCCAAGACCATATGCTCGTAGTCTTCGACGATGACACCGTAAAAAAGTTACCCCTCGAGGACTCTGAGGGAGGAGGTGGTACGGGCAGCAGTGAGTCCGAGAAGGGTGACGTCACTGCTGTCGTGGCCAACAAGGAAGGCCAGAGTCAGTGGAAGAAGAGGAGGAGGCCACGATCGTTCCTTGAGCATCCCGGCATAGCGTTCGGGAGACCTTAGGAGAAGATGAACATGACACGAGAGGAGTGGCAGTCCAAAATGGACAATCGCCAATGCCTCAAGTACGGTACCGTGGGGCACGTGATAGCCTGGTACCCGCTTATTCGTAACCCAAAAGCGAGCAACCAGTAGGAGTAGCATCTGCTCCTACTGAGTCGAAGGGATTAGACGAAGACAAAGGAAAGGCGCCTATAACCCCTTCTACTACTTCGACTCTCGAGGCAGAGGATGACTCTTCTTCCGCCCGTCGTCCAGACCACCCTGACACAGTACTTTGTTTTGTTTCACTGGACAATTCCCTTGATGAGTTTGGCAATGAACGCATAGCACTACGGAGTTCATGGGCGAAGAAAGCTAAGTCTAAAGGTGAGTTGATGATCGTGGATATTGAGATTGCGCACACGCGAGTAGATGCCCTGTTAGATCCGGGATCGACGTGGTCTTATATCTCAGAGAAGGCAAGTTGCATCTGGGAATGAAGGTAAAGGATTTACGTAGACCTATCACGTCTATACTGGCTGATAAGAGCACGATCATTGTCTCTCAATACGTCGATCATGTTAAGTGTTATTTCAGGACTAAGGAAGGTAAGAAGATTCTACACAAGATATCCTTCCTTATAGAGAAGAATTTACCCTTTGACATGATTCTGGGAATGGATTGGCATGAGGAAGCCGACCCAGAGGTCAAGTTCAAGGATACAATTGTCAAACTCAAGGACGAAAAGTTTGAATTACGCGTTGTAAGGTTATATCATAGATCTAGCTCTAACTCTACTCTGTCTTTCTGTTGTACGAGTTATCCAACTTTCCAATCAATGGTAGTAAAGAAGAAGTTGGTTTAGGAGGTGATGATGGTGCTTATCAAGTGAGTAGGTGAGTGTTCCTCATCCTATCCACCTTCTATCGAAAAAACTTCTCAATGAGTATAAGGACTTGCAAATTGAGCCGACGGGAATTACTGAGCGTGCTATTAAGCACACAATTGAGATCATTCCCGGAAGCAAGATTCCCAAGGGTCCCATTTACCGAATGTCTCCCAGGGAACTTGAAGAACTTCGAAAGCAGTTGCAAAAACTTACTGACAAGGGATGGATTCGCCCTAGCTCATCTCCTTATGGTGCACTTGTCCTATTTGTGCCTAAAAAGGAAGGTGAATTCGTCTTTGTATAGGTTATCGTGGGCTAAACTCCATCACTGTCAAAAACGTGAAGCCTCTTCCGCACATTGACGATCTATTGGATCAGTTGCAGGGATGCAGGTACTTTAGAAAGATTGATTTCAAGTCAAGGTACCACCAAATCGAGGTGGCTCCTGAGCATCAACACAAGACGACATTCCGAACCAGGTCGTTCGTGGTTATGCCTTTCGGATTGACCAATGCGCCTGCGACCTCCCAAAGGTCCATGAATAAATTGTTTCGTCAATGGCTTAATCAATTCGTAGTAGTCTACCTCGACGATATTCTAGTGTACAGTAAGACACTGGAAGATCACTAGAAACACCTATGAATGGTTTTGCAGAAGTTTTGCGAGGACAACTTCAAGCTGAATCCAAAGAAGTCCGAGTTTGCTAAGCCTGAAGTCTTGTACTTGGGGCATATAGTGAACGAGGAAGGACTAAGGCCTGAAGAAAAGAAGATTACAACAATCAGAGACTGGCCACAACCTAAGACTATAACTGAACTAAGATATTTTATAGGACTTGCAAGCTACTATAGGAAGTTCGTCAAAGACTTCTCCTTGATAGTTGCTCCTATGAGAAGAATACTGAAAAAGGAAAAACCTTGGTTGTAGGACAAAGATTGTGAGTCCTCGTTTAGAAGGTTAAAGCATGTTCTGACTCACTACCCTATCTTAAAGATTGCAGACCCTTCTCTTCCTTTCATTGTCACGACTGACGCAAGTATGGGATTGGGGTTGTGCTACAGCAAGATGACGGTAAGGGCTATAGACCTACTGAGTTTATCTCCAAAAGACTTCCGTCTGAAAAAGTGGCCAACTCCACCTACGAAAGGGAACTGTATGCCTTAGTTGTTGCACTAGATACCTGGAAGCACTACTTGTTAGAGAGACATTTCACTGTCTACTTTGATCACTCTACTTTGAAGTGGATCAAGACTCAAATTAAGCTCTCCGACAAGTTGGTAAGGTGGTCCGCTTTACTTGACACATTTGACTTTGAAGTCTAACGTGTTTGCGGATGGTTTGTCCAGGCGTGCAGATTTCTTTGGAACCATTGTCTCCTATCTCGATATCGAAAATGAACTGAAATAACATATCCGCCAGGGTTATGGGAATGATCCTATTTGGAATCCTATCATTGAGACTCTACGAAAGAACCCTGAGTTGTTTCTAGAATATCGAATGATTGATGGATTACTCTTCTTTCAGGATAAAACCGATGTGTTCCTCACCTAGAATCAATCAAGAGTTCAATCATTGGGGAATGTCATGATACGGAAGGACACTTTGGTTTTAAGAAGACGTATGCCGATGTACGTAAACGTTTTAAATGAAAACGAATGAAGGAAGATGTACTAACGTATGTGCGAACTTGTCTTGTCTGTCAGAGGAACAAGCCCTCACATAAGAATCCGATGGGACTATTGAGACCGCCGCCTATTCCAAATGAGCGAGGTGAGTCTATCTCTATTGACTTTATGAGCCTCACTAAGAGTCAAAACGACAACAGTCAGGTAATGGTCATTGTCGATAAATTCTCTAAGTATGCTATGTTCATTCCTTTGCCTGCTGAAGCTAGAACCAAACTCGTCATTCAAAAGTTTCAAATGCGATGGGTCTCTGAGTATGGATTTCCCAAAACCATCGTATCAGATAGAGATGTTCGGTTCACCAGTCTACAATGGCAGAAGTTGATGGAAGTCTATGGGACCACGTTGACCATGTCGTCAGACTGACATCCTGAAACGAATGGCCAAACCGAGCAAATGAATCATCTCTGCCAACAACTTTTGCGAATGTATCTCCGTCCTGACCAGATTGATTGGGTAAGAACTTGCCCAAAATTGTCAGTGCTTATAATAACAGTATACATGCTGTCACAGGTACTGCACAAAGGATGGAAGCCTGGGCATCCCATTGATGCACTAACCAGGGACCAGATTCGCAATTTTGTACGAAGAAGACATCAAGAAGGTGAAGGAAAACATCCAGAAATCCCAACTGCAAATGATAGAACAAGCTAATAAACATCGTCGTCCTTCATAGTTCCAAGAAGGGGACTACGTTTGGGTTAAGTCTAAAGAGTTTTCCTTAGAAGAAAATGTGTCTCAAAAACTGCTACCTGTCTGCTACGACCCTGGGAAGTTCTCAAAGTGCTTGGAGGTGAAGATGGACCTTCCTATCGTATAGATGTACCTCCACATCTAAGGACATACCCTGTCTTTCATGTGTCTAAACTGCTACTCTACGTACAAAGTGATAACTTTCCGAATAGACCATCTCCATTTCCACCCTCTACGAATGGCAGCTATGAAGTTGAAAGGATATTGAAACATGGCTATTTTTCTACAGGTGGCAGAGGACGACCTCAAAAGCAGTACACGGTGAAGTTCAAGTCCCAACCTCCACCTGAAGCCAGATGGTTCAGTAGGAAAGAACTCCTACCTACTGCTCCTGACATTGTTGCTGCTTATGAACATGGGTTAAGTGATATATTTTTGTGATGGAACTCGAAATTTGGGCTGGCAGGAATGCAATAACCCACGAAGCAAGCCTCGTGGAATCTGAAGGCCTCACCAGGTCACACCCAGGCCCAGGCCAAAACGGGGAAAAAGAACCCAGCAAAGATTCAGGGCCTCGACGAGAAACAGTTGACAAAAGTCAACTGCCGGAAACCCCAACAGTCAAAGTCAAGTGTACCCAGCCTAGGCCGCCGGTCGGACATGCACACTTGTTTGTATGCAGGTACCCAGACAGCATCAGGTCCAAGGGAGAAGTCTGCAACTGCACAATCCGGGCCCTCATCTGTGAGTCAATCTGGACGACTGTGGGGAAAGCACCCGAGGCCAGACAGCCTCGACAATTGCTACTTAAGGCCAGGCTGGCCTCGAGTGAGTCAAGCATTCAGTCTTGCTATGCTGCTTTGACGCTGGTTCGACTTTGACTAGACGCTGGCTTCATGCTGGCGCGACGTCGGCTACACGCTGGCTGTGCACAGGCGTTGCGGACGACGGCACGAGATGGAGGCAGCATGCTGGCGCTTCTGCATTATGTGCCAGACTTGCTGAGGTGGCATGCTGATGTGGCGCTACCTATGGTCTATATGGCATGCTGATGTGGCGCTACCTATGGTCTACATTGCATGCCGATGTGGTGCTACCACTGGTGTACATTGCATGCTGACATGGCGCTACCACTGGTCTACATTGCACATTGACATGGCGCTACCACTGGTCTACATTGCATGCTGACATGGCGCTACCACTGGTCAACATTGCATGCTGATGTGGTGCTACCTCTGGTCTACATTGCATGCTGAAGTGGCGCTGCCACTGGTCTCCATTGCTGATGTGGCATATGCTACCTGTCTCGACTGCTGACGTGGCATTTGTCCACGCTGTCTACATTGCGAGGAGAAGGAAGATCCGGATCTGTGGATGAAGGAGGTCGGGTACTCACCTGAGGTTGAAGTCGTCACTGGAATCTGCTATGTCTTCATGGTCTTCACGAGATAAAGTGCCACGTGGCACTATTGTGTGTGATCAGGAATATACTTATTATCATTGTTGACGTGGAGAGGGAAGAAGCCCGGAGAAGGAGAGGGGTCTGCAGGGATTATTACTGTGTAATCTTTCATCTTCTCCTTTGTCTATTCCCCCTCCACTCTCTTCTTTTGATGGTAACGAGATACTGTTTGAGATTTTACTTCACGACTTGGAGACTTTGATGCAGATAATGAAACTACTGATGTTTGACGACTTCTGAGTATCCGCCAGACTGGGTTCATTACAGAAGATTCATTCCCATTTTGCACAGGTGGCTTCTGAGGCGAGACGAGTGTTTTTTTTTTGTTTTTGCTTTTTCTAAGTATTTTTTGTATTTGTTTTTTTTTCCCCCCTCTCAATTTTACCTTTCACCTAGGCTACCAGTCGGGCCGCCCGGGTCAACCTATTTTCCTGGACGGCCCGGCCGTGCAAGGACCAGGGAAGGTCCTACCAAAAAAAAACACTCAAAAAAAAAAAAAAAAAAACTGAAAAAACTTCCAAAAAGTTAAAAAAAACTATGTTCTTTAGAAACATAAACTGAACAACTTTTGCCTCACATCGAAATTCTTTACCAAATTTAAAATAAAAAATAAAGTAAAAAACTAA